TTCTCTGTGTGCCTTATTTAAACCAGTTAAAACGAAGTTGGATGGAAAATGATGGAATTTAGCGAGTAGAAATCACTGCCGAAGGAATTTCTGATTTCTTACCAACTTTTTTCTTGTTGTGGCGTAACAATCATTGCTAATCCTTGACTAATTACAATTTATAAATTTTACAAATACATCCGAGCCCTAACCAAGCAGGAAGAAACCCGATAAGCTGTCAGAGAGTATAATAATGAGCACAAATGAAAAATACATATGAGATGCGTATAAAAGAAATGTATCAACACTCCCGCGGGACACAACTCTGCCTAACTCTTAAATAGCGGCAGTTATATTAACTTCAATTGAAAGCACATCATTACTCGATGACGAATCTTAACGCATAATAATGAATGGTAGAGCTCGGATATATTATATGACCAACTGATAAATCCTTTTTTGCTGGCGAGTAATTCAGAGAAAATATACTGCTTGTTGGAGTTTTTGTAGTGACGCGCGTGCGCGCGTTCGCCGACAAAACTGCTGCGAAGAATTAGTAATAGCGAACGCACATTTGTCGTTTATGCAGAAATACGAGAATCGAATAAAGTTTACCAACGACGAATTTGCGAAGAAAAAAGAATCGGTAAAAATGGTAATGTTTGCATAGCATGCATTACGTGGGCCGTAGTTGAAGATATTTTTTCGATTACTTTTGTTTATGAGAAAACATCGTACATGCCACAATGGATCACTTATTATAATGGCAAATGTCGATAACAATTATTACTTTTTCACTTTCCCCGCCAGAGGCAGAGGAAAAAGTTTTTTATACTTCGCGAAGAAGTAGCAGCGGCTACAGCAGAAGCAGTGGCGGCTAAGTTCAGCTATTTTCTCCTGCCCTACATTAAAGCGAGCGCAAGGATCTTTATTTTTAATAAGGTATCATCTAGAGCGATTCTTCATTATTTCTCGGTCGGGGCAAACGAGCTGAGAAATTGATCAAAAAGTTCGCCAATGTCGGAGGCTAGCAACAATGTTTTTGCATCGTACACGAAGACTACTCTATCTTACTCATTAGTGTTTACCTGGAGGTAATTGCAGGAGAAAAACTCGTGGTTACGCGGGCCTCCTAGCAATAGTTGATTTATTTTGTGAACTTTCATCTCGGTAGCAATGTTCGGCAGTCATTATTCATTAATGATTTTCATAACGCAACTGTTAATTGGCCAAAAAATTAACAATCGATTTCTCATGCGTAATGATGCTGCCGCACAAATCGATCCGTGGCCACGTATAGCAGCTGTATTTAGGCAATCTTTCCCGTTACACTTTCAACAAATTTCATAAAACACTGCAAAACATCGTGGTATCGTTTGCTCTTCATAATATTCAAATGAACTCACGCCCGCACACACGTATGTTCAAAGGCGGCAATAAACTGGAAATTCAAGTAATTTAAAAGTCGTCGTGCGTTCGCAACTTCGTAGCACTCAAAATTCAATTTTACTTCGCAACTCGAACCAGAAAGAAAAAGAAGAAGAAGAAGCAGAAAGAACGAAAGAGAGTAAACTTATCGGGGCCGATAGCTATCGAATGGTGCCAAAAGACCAGCACGCGCGCGTGAGAATAATCAATGAAATTTGCCGAGCGACAGCCTTACCGCAACTGACGCCGGTAACTCTTCGTCTCCGGTGCAGCACCGTATGCTGTGTGCTACTGCATCGCGCGCACGGCACTAAATTTCTTCTTTGCGATGCGCGCATGTGCATCGTCGTCGTCGTCGTCGTCGTCTTCAGCACCCCGAGAGCACGTTTAAAACTCTCTCTAGCTCACTCGTGTTAGTTTGCCATGTATTATATACCTGGCACCGCGTCGAGCGAATGCATCTTTAAAAGCCAACATTTTCCGGGGCCTTTGATGCGGCTGAATTCGAAAAATGAGTATAACCGTGCGAAAGGTGAACGCTCGTTCCGAGTAGAGAGAGAGAGAGAGGGGCAAAATATTGCGTCAATTGTGTCGTTGCATATAAACACGATTTTGAATAATTGAATGGTATCAGAGTCTTTTATTTTCTGCACTCTGTCATTGAGCCGCTGAAATTCTTTCTTGAAAAGGTGCAAAAAGTAGACGACATCCCGGAAAAATTACCAGTCGTAACACTTTATAACAACTGAGTAGTCACGCCGAGATAATACAACTGCAATTCTGCACTCGATTGAGTAAGAGTCTCTCTATTTCTCTTTCGCTAAGTTTCGAAATTCCGTCTGGCAATCAACTGCTTTCATTATCTGATTTCACGTTTAACGATACGGCTCCGTACACTTCTTCAATTATTATACGGAAAGATCCATCATAGCTCGTATAAAATGTGCGCAGCAAAAGATAAACAGCAAAGACGCAAAACCACGTATATAAATAATATGACCTCTTAGGCGGTCCACACACAAGACGCGCGCAAAAAGAAGCTCGCATAGTCTGACAAAGAAAAAAGAGGTAAAAAAAAACGTCGCGCAAGTAAATAGCAAACTCGTGCTGTACGTATACGTATGTAGGTTTTATGCATACAAAGGTAGAGAGAGAGAGAGAGACGCGCGCGACACACTGAGTCTATAGGTAACGCTTCACCGCCACCTACGCTGACTTTGCATTATGCGCGCTGCAACTCGTCAGAGTGTACACGAAGCTGTGTGACGCTCCAAAGGCGTGCATATGTATGCATATATACCCTGTAATACATGCAGACACACATACGAGGGCATAGGCAGGTATAAGGTATAATCGTGCAAAACAGCTCGGGACCTTTTTTACATCATTGGTCTCGCGTACACATTCTCATACGATAAAGACAGTAGAGGTGCTCGAGCAAGAAAATCGACTCTCGTCTACTGGATGGCGTTAGTCAACGAGCTACTGCCGTATACACGCGCTCATGGTTTTGTAGTTTCTTCTTTTTTACATTCTTACTCTAATGCGGTGTACGCTCAGCGAGTAATAATATCTCCGGGCGACACGGTCTACACGCCGAAGAAGCAAAAAAAAATCAAACGTAAAGGGTCGAGTAGTCTCAATTTAACTCGGAAAAATCGGACTATTATTGCGAACTTTGGTAGCCTAGCTTTTAAGGGTATTAAGCCGAATCGATTTCCGATTTTACAAGATTTTCAGACTACGAGTTGAACTAACAGACCGGACACTCCAAGAGTACAGCCGTACATAAACACACCCGGGCGCACGCGAAAGTCGGAAACTATACGATAGTGCAAAGGTAAATGTAGAGAACGAACGTGCGAGCGCGAGATTTTGAGAATTATTGTACGAATAGCCTCGAATTCCGTAAAGTGCGCGCACAGGCTACGTTATAAATTTAATTGGATTTTTACAGTATATATCGATAGTCCCCGCGCACTCGTGCTGGCCTGGTAATATACACCTCGTGTAAAATAATTATCCGATAAACTGTGCGGCCAAGCGAAAGAAGAAGAAAAAAAACCAAGTAATAAATCGGATGAAATAATTTGCAATTTTCAACTTTATGCAAACATAGCACGCCGTACTCGGCCCGAGGATCGATAAAGCAGCGTGTTTATTTTTGCATTAATATATTACAAGCTCGAGCGATCCCGCGAAGCTTTCGATCATCTCAAAATCATTTCCGAGAAAGCTTGTTAATTATGAGACAGATTCCTTAATTAACATCCAAACGATTCGATGCGCGGAATAAAGTTGCGCGCGTAAGTTTTGTTTCCAAGTCATTTACACGAGTTCCAGTTCTCGATATTGTAAGAACGAGCTGCCAAGTTATGCGGCTATAGGAAGTTAAAAAAAAAACGGGTGGATAACGAAGTATTTTTTTTTTTTTTCGATTGCGGGTATCTAGCTGTGTATTATGCACGTGCGATGATACCGAGATAAATTGAGAGATTGGCCATCCTCGCTGTATACGCATACAGTTTAATCTGCAGAAGCTTAATTAATTTTCGTTGAAGCATTCCACTAACTCACGCGATGATATGATATTGCACGCAGCGCAGCATCGCTGAAATCTGTCGTAAACTTCCTCGCGCACGTTTACAATCTCGAAGTGTGGAAATTACTCGCACACTCGATCTCTGGCATTGTTTACTTTCGAGCTCTGTTTATAACTTGTAGCCTTAGATTGTCGGTATTTTGCAAATGTAGAGAGGTTGAAATTTCTAAATTTCACACTTACGCAAAAAAAACCAGTCATTTCCGCGATATCCTCTTGGAATGATAATTTAGACTTGAAATAGTTTTCTTACCTGCAACAAAGAATTTACAAAGATTCTTAATCGAAATTTCATGTATAAAAATGTTAAAATATTTTGAAAGAAAATATCTATTAAAGATTTTAAACTATTATAGATACTGTACTTGAGACTTTCATTCTCAAGTACTTACGCGAAAGGGTGAGAGTAAAATTAGCTCATGGTTAATCAAACATCTATTTTATAAATTAGTTTCTGACCTGTTCAAAGTTAAAAGACCGTTTATCTTATCTAACCCAAAATGAGACCGAAACACGTTTCCTTAACCACGCAATTCACAAACTTTCAACGCATGCTCACCCACTGGCTGAAAAATATTTGCTCGTACAAGCTATTCATCACTTTTTATTTAACTTAAAAGTTCATAGAGAAACTCACTACACGAGCTCGAGAGATAAAAATATGTATATACTTATACGTGTATATTACCTCTAGAAATGAAAACAAAATCCATTAGCGGACGGCGTGTCGCACGTCGCATTACTCATAAGGCAAACAAGGCCCGGTTCCCTTACATGTATAATAAACTTTGAGCGATAAAAAGCATTTACGCAAGGATTTAAGTCTCATCGGGGAAAAAAGGTGTATATATGGGTGTGCGCGCGCGCACGTGACAACACGATCACCGGTCAAGTGGTCCATTAATCTCTCTCTCTCTCTCTCTCTCTCTCTCTCTCTCTCTCTCTCTCTCTCTCTTTTCCTCATAATTATTAGCAATTAGGCGTATCATACCTATGGTCGCAAAATCTAACCGGTCTCACGGCGTCGTATCGCAGGCTGAGCTTGCGTCTCTGATCGCGAGGCGTCGTGGGCCATTTAAGAATCCGAGTTCCACCCGGACTGTAAAAGCTCGCCGGCTCGTAGTAGGGCTGCTCCTGCAGCTGCTGCTGGTACTGCAGCGGCCGATAGGATTTCTCACGCTGATGCGAGCGCTGCTGGGCATTATTGGCGTCGTTGCCCCTTATCGCTTCGCGAAAGGCAGCCCCGACGCCGCAGCACTTGGCCATATCTCGTGCTCGCTATTATTCTCACGCGCGCACTGTCTGTTTATTATTATTGGATCTTTTTTTTTCACTCGGGGCAGCTATGCACTTGACTCCATCGCGCCACTGCAGCTCTCTGTTGTGACACATGTGGTGATTAGTTGAGACAAATGAATCGCAGATGCAGTCGATTACGACGAAGACGACGAAGACGGCGGCGACGCAGTTAATAACGATGATCAGTATCCCGTTATGCTCCAAGTACCTTCCCGCCTACGCGTCAACTGGATCTCATAATATTAATCCAATGCAAAATTTCTTGGCGTTTTATTATTCACTTAACTCAAAGCGGAAGTACATTTGCTTTCTCGAAAATAAAAAGTACTCGTTGTATCCGTCGTGGGCCCGCAAAACACATGTGAATATTATTCTCTCAACGTCTGAAGGCGCATTAATAGGGCTAAATATTTTGCGCACAATTACGCGTGATGAGAAGAAAAATGAACTTGACCCGTTAAAAAGTAACTAGCCATAGTTATTCAATACGTAAATATAATGTCAGCATTTTGAGAAAACGACGCTGACATACTTGCAACAATATTGTCGTACAGAACGCGCGCGCTGGATGACAATGTGTTGTACGTATGTACACGCGGTCATTAGTCGCGCACGAAGATGATCGTTAGCTCGTACACAAAGGTGGATATTGAAATTGTACGTTTCGAGCGCGCGGCTAATACCAATTGTCTCGTCGATGCTGTACTAAGCTGTGTACGCCAATAGTCAGCAGCAGCGCGTTGCACAATTTACTTTTGCCGTTAAACGCGACTTGGATCTCTTTGAAGCGCTCTTCTTATGGGAAAATTAAGTCGGATTCGAAATGGTCGCGAGCTGGTAACTTTTAACTCGTCGTTATTATTGCCGTCTTCGACGTCTTAGTCGTCGTCGTCGTCATCATCGTCGGAGAATTTCGATCACTCAGCGCTCGGGCGTTGCTGCCTGGCTACGGCGCGTCGCAATATTTTTTCACACAATGGTAATAACTCGTTGAAGCTCCGTCGACACTCTTTTACCACAAAATTATATTCACAAAGCCAAAAGTAATGACGCCGCGAACTCTCGTCGACTAAGACGGCTTTTCTATTTATATTAAAACGAGCACGGTGGCTCTGGAAATGATTATCGAGAGGCGCGCGCTCCTCGTCGTCGTAGTCGACAAAAAGATTTAAATGCCCTGCGCCTGCGGCCGCAAGCATCCACTGTGCGTATATGCTGCATTATTGTCGCGACGCGTCGCGTGCGGGATGCTGCTATTACTGCGTGGAGCTCTCTGCCGAGTGCAATTTATAAATATATATGTATCCGAGTATACGTGCCACACACATGGCCTTGAAAAATCTCTCATATGCAGGCACGGACAGATCCGCCTATCTTTGCGTGTTACACGTTTTGTGCGTATGTGCGGGTCTCCGTATATATACGTGTGCGTGTGTGTGCCGCCAGTATAAGCAACGCCTCTCGTCACCCTTTGGCTCCTTCGCTCTCTGTATACATGTGCTTGTTTCCGTTGAATTGATCTTCCGACGAATTTACCAATGCTACAAAAAGTTAACTCCGTTTCCTCTTTCGGCCTCCTCGCCTCTCTCTCTCTCTCTCTCTCTCTCTCTCTCTCTCTCTCTCTCTCTCTGTCTCGTCACGCGTGACTCCATTTGAATGGCAGAGTCATAAAAGTATCGCTCCGCGCCGCGCGACTCGCCTTCTGTTATTCCGCGCGAGTGCAGCGCAGTCAATTTTAGTGCCGCGCAAAATTTATTTATTTTACGCCGGCGATGGCAGGAGCGCGAGACTATATGCGATTCGATATTTTTCCTGAACTTTGCGGCTCGTTCGCCGAGAAATAAAGAGTAGAAAATCGCGTGCCTCGTGTACAGGCCGATGTGAAAAGCGCAGCATCTCGCGTTTCAGAGACTGTCTAATGGGTGAGTTGAAAAAAATTTTTACTTTTACTGTCACACACACACAGACCTCCCATCTCGAAAACATTTGACCGACTTATACTATTCAATCACACATTTTGTTGTGTATACGTATGAATCATTGACGGATAAATTTCGATTTCACGGCACGTTTACTTGAAAAAATTCATGAAAAACAGATGGCTATTGAGCAATTTGACTTTAGCATTTGCCTGACCATACGAGTATTTGCACGCACACGTACAATGAGCCTCGACAATGGCATTATTAACCCCCGTAAATGCAAAAAAAGAATGCGACGAGAGCTCGCGGTCACGCAGATCGGTTTGGCTTTGCGAACAAAATCGACGCATCTCTTTTTGTTTATGCACAAACTCACTTTTGGAGCAGACACCGCCAAATTTCACTGACAACACAGCACTGTAGCACTCCGACTTTTTTTTCGATACATCTACATGCGTACGGCGTTATAATATAATCTTACACGCACGCGAGTTCGAGAGCGACTACTGAACCGATGGGTTATACGACTCTCTGTACGCGCGGGCCGTAAGGAAACGGCAGCGCGAGCGAGAACACATGTCTTTCACGCGTCGCGCTTATGTATATAATATATATGAGCCGGAGCAGCGATCCCATGCCGTAGCAGGCGATGTTGTGCTGTATAGATATACACAGCATACACGCATACATATCGTAATTTGGTCGTTTAAAAAGTTGTCAAGGCAAAGTGCTCGGCAAGACTTTTCAACGACTCGTGCGTCTCTGCAGCAATTCCTCTAGACATTGGTTTTCATGTTGTGCTATACTCCCTCGGCGCTATTTTCGGCGCACTCGACTCGCAGCTGAGCAGATTACTCGGATTTGCTCGAAAATGCACTTGAAATTTCTCTCGTCTTTTTTGAAATATTAATGAAATGATTATTTTTAAACATTGCCAAACTTATTTCCGCGAATGTCGAGAAAAATTGTTTTCATTGAAATGAAACGTTGAAATGCCTTCTACTTCGCGGTTCATTTTGTAGTTTATCGTTTACCTAAACAGCATCGGTATATCTGCACCGTTTGTATAATGCACACATACGTATAATGTTCGTCGGAAAAATGATATAAAGTTTTCAAATAAGCTCCTTATTAGCCAAAAGCTTATGTAGGAAACCGCGCTTATGCATAAAAGAATACAACTTGTAATCCTGCGCGAGATTATCATTCAACTGCGCTTCAGTCCGGTTTTCGAACAAAACTAATTTTCATTGAAAAACACAAAAGTACCGTATTGTAACGTAGCGAGTCGAGTTATCAGTTAGGCCGATTGCCGGCCAACGATCTCGAATGAAAGAAATGCATTTAAAATTACAACGTGTTTACACGAATAACAATGATTAACAGCGACCAAAGCCTTTGAATATTTTTTCACAATGGGCCGGCCGCGTGCTATTTTCCTCTAATGAAATGTATCATCCATATAATAAGGCAAGACAAGGTAAGATATCTCCTTATCTCCTTTGAGTCTGCTTTCTTTCCTGGTTCGTATCGTACGAACTTTGAGTGGCGAACCGTGTGGATGAAAAAAAAAGAAAAAAAGAAGAGAGGAATATTTCGTTCACATATACATAATAAGTATCCTCGCTCGTATAGCGCGATGTGTGCCCGCTCGAGCTGTTTCGTAGCGGTTACGTGAATATATATACACACAACACACGCCTATGTATATCCTACCTCATATTTGCCAAAGGATAAACTCGCCCAGTTATCGGGGCACACGAGGCAGCGGCAACTGCGGCAGCGGTGCGCTTGTTAAGATGGCTTATGGTATATATATAAACCGTCCCCTCCCAGGCGCTGTTCAGGATACGCGGAATCAAGACTTCCGGTCTGTGCAGGCGCACGACGAGCTATATAACATACGGCGTGCAGAGCAAAGTCGTGTGCCCCGCGTACCCGAGGTACTCATATCAAGCATCTATTTTGTACCTCTTGGCTGTTCTCTTTACTTCTCCAAGTATTATAGATCTATTGACGATAATTACTTTTTTGCACTGCATCGACGTCCTCGTCATCGTCATCTTCCTCGCGACTCGAGCGTTTCAGGCTATCATTACGTAATCGCAGTAAGGGATGTTGTTCAGTCCAGTGCGCGTTACTGTATGTTTATAACGCACATCTACATGTAGGAGCTCCGATACTCTTTGTGTTGCCGGTTGCGATCGTGGCTTTGTGTATTACAGTCATTTTTGCCATCATCGTCCACTTACGCGCGTCTCTTTAATTTATTTCCAAAACTCGTTTTTTCTTTCATTTTTTTTCTTCAATAGAGGGAGAGATAGAGAGAAATTTTGAAAACATTTGAGGCAAGGTGGCCGTTAAAATTTAAAAAATTGACGTCATTTGTTTCAATGCCTGCTACAGTTAGAGAGAGAAAACTTGTGAAAATTGTGCAAGCAAAGTGACAATTGGCCGTTTTAATAAAGAGATCTGGAGAAGCCGCGCGCACGCACTTACGCACGAAGAGGACGACGACGCCTTATCGAGAGAACCTTGACTTCAAAACTCCGTCGAGCACGAGAGCTCTCTTTCGACAAAACCTGAATGAGCTCTCGCGCGCTCGAAAGCACGATCGGAGCTGCTCTCGGCTGCTCGCGGGAATATAGCGTATAGAGATTCGCTCGACGCGACGCGTGCGCGCGGCTTTTGCATCTCTTTCTCTCTCTCTCTTCGGGCCCCGAAAGAATCCGTTTAGAGAACCTCGAAGAACCGGTTTGTTCGAGTATACGTACGCGCGCGCCAGGAGTTTGCAAGCAACAACAGCAGCAGCAACAGCACCACCACCGACGAGAGGAGCTGTGTATAGTTTGCTGCCGTTCGTTCGCTCGCTCGGATTCGATTTATTACGTATACGCGCGCGAGTGAGAGAGAGAGAGAGAGAGAGAGAGAGAGAGAGAGAAAAAGCTGCTTGACTCATACTCTTTCTTGCTCTTCGCTCGGAGTACGTATGTTGCGCTGCTGCAGGGCCCCGCAGTGCAGTTTTGCTGTACGGTGCTCGCAGCAG